AGGTTATCAAAGTTTTTACACCAGTTTTATGATCTTACCGTGAAAGTTTCTGGATCTTTGTTTGTCACCTCAAATTGTTATTTTACTGAAATATGTGAAGTTTATTCTACCGTCTGTGGATGGGTTAAGAGCTCTGATAAAAAATTCAGCTTAATGGCTGGACAAATGAAGGAAAAATTTGACAAGTATTGGGGTGATGTTGAGAAAATGAATATGTTGTTGTGTGTTGCAACTGTGCTTGATCCTAGGCGTAAGTAGGTATATGCAGAGTTTTGTTTTAAAAGGATGTATTTGAAAATTGATGTATACATCCTTTTAAAACAAAACTCTGCATATACCTACTTACTCCTAGGATCAAGCACAGTTGCAACATACAACAACATATTCATTTTCTCAACATCACCCCAATACTTGTCAAATTTTTCCTTCATTTGTCCAGCCATTAAGCTGAATTTTTTATCAGAGCTCTTAACCCATCCACAGACGGTAGAATAAACTTCACATATTTCAGTAAAATAACAATTTGAGGTGACAAACAAAGATCCAGAAACTTTCACGGTAAGATCATAAAACTGGTGTAAAAACTTTGATAACCTTCTAACATTTTCCCAGTCATCATGGTCGGGAATGCCTTCACTATTACTAAGATCATGATTGTAATGGGGATCAAAATCCTCAAAACTATCAAAGGCCCTCTCAAGTTTCTGTGCTGCATTCAACATTAGATATGTAGAGTTCCACCTAGTGCAAACATCTAGGCATAACAGTGCCTTAGACTCTATCTTCTCTAAAACAACACACTCTTTAAACTTTTCTAGCCTTGCAGGTGACTGCCTCACATACCTCACTGCCCCTCTAACACGAGAAACCGATTCATCTAGACTTTTCAATCCATCTTTGACAGCTAAATTAACTATGTGAGCTACACACCTCATGTGAAGAAACTTTCCATCCAAGATTGGCCTACCTGAATTGTTAAACTTGTTTCTCAAGTAGCCAATGGCAACATCATTTGAGCTCGCATTATCCACAGTAATTGTGAAAACATTATCTATTCCCCAATCACGCAAACATTTCTCAACAGCCTTACCAATATCTTCACCCTTATGACTGGATATTGGACAAAAATTAATTATTCTCTTATGAAATTTCCAGTCACTATCAATGTAGTGAAGAGTGAGACACATATAATTTATTTTTTGCAAAGAAGTCCATGTGTCAGTGGTAAGTGAAACTCTATGACAAGTGGTCTGGAGTAATTTGGACAGTTTTTTTTTCTCCTCTAAATAAATATTGAAACAGTCCCTAGCAATAGTCCAACGCGATGGAACACGAAACCTAGGACAAGCAGCATGCATCAATCTTCTAAACCCCCTTGCTTCGACAAACTTAAACGATAACTCATCGATAATGAACATTTCTGACATAGCCCTTCTAATCTTAGTTTCATCATATTTACCATAACTCAAAGAACCCTCACCATTCACTTGTGGGACAACTAATTCTGTTTGAGAGGGGTCAGACTTAAGTCCTACACAACTTCTTATGTGAGCTGCCAAGGAACTTGTTCCATTTCCTTTAGAGTCAGCAAATAGCTCTTTTGAACAATGAGTACATCTAGCTTTTTTATGGCCCTCGTCACTTGTGAATTTGTCAAAGTGATTCCATACCTTAGACTTGACTCGTGTTGCTTTTCGTTTCTTTGGCGTTACTTTTTTAGCGGTTGAGTTTGTCGCATCTGTAGAAGCAGCTCCTACTCCTTGTGTTTGCTCATTTTGACTTGGTGGTTCCTCATCCATTGGCACAAACTCCATTGAGCCTGTTGATTCCATCTACAAATGATAAAATAGTGATATAGTTATATTTACAGAATATATTACTAATAGTTCTATAACGAATTACTACTCACTACTAACTACTCCATTCCAGAACTGTATAACTTTATAATTTCATCCACAATTTATAAGTATATAACCCATGATAACATAGTTGCATAATTACTATCTTAAATAACTAATAATTCACATTAGTTATCAAAATAAATAGAAATGTTCGGATGTCCTAATAGCCTCAAACTTTAGGAGTTCTTATCAAATTTATTAAACTTTAATGTTCTAGTTAGTAGTTAGAAAAAAAAAACAGAATAAATCATCAATAAATTTAAATGAAAAAAGGGCATAAATACAAATTTACAATGAGATTTGGCAGAATAAGACACACCTTTGTTGAAATGTTGATTCGTTCGCACCGTAGCTATTGTTGGTCAAGGCGCCGATTCTAGGAGCACGAACAAATTAAGTATTGATGAAACCTCGTGTCCTTGAAGAAGCTAGTGAGCGAACGGGAAGACTTGATAGGTGGTGGTTAAAGATTTGAAGTTAATCCATATCGTATAGAAGAGAATCAAGAGATCGAAGATGAATTAGGTGATGGCGGCTGAGGGGGTTTTGAGTTTTGATTGTTCTGAATGCAGATTGTAGAGGGTTCGATTAGTTATTCTAGCTTTACTTAGGGTTCTAGTTTAGTAGCTTTACTTTACGTATTTGACTATGGGCTAATTGGGTATGGGCTAAATCTTTAGTAAACCATGTAAAGATTGGGTATGGGCTGAATGCAGAGTATATATTATTTATTTACTGTAGTTTATATATTTTGAACGGTTATCGGTCGGTAACCGATAAACCGATAAATGAAACCGCATAATAACCGAAAAACCGAATAACCGAATATTTCCAACACTTCCAACCGATAACCGACCGATAACCGACTTTTTCGGTCGGTTCGATCATCGGTTTGCGGTCGGTTCGGTTTTGGCGGTTATTTGCTCACCCCTAAATTTAGACCGTATCTATAATCTATCTTCTATAATAATATAAAATAACAAGGTCTAGCACTTGCTTTTCCCTCCAATTAGACAATTAATGTTCTATACCTCTTCAACAATAAGAGTCATATTAATAATTTGCAATTAGTAATAATAATAATAGGCGTAGTAAATAGTAATATACTATGGAGTAATTGGAATATTTTCACTTCAAAATAATAATAATGATAATAATATTATTAATAATAATAGTAATGATAATAATGTAATAATATGATGCATAATTGACGGGATTTCAGTTAACACAAAAACATATTAGAACATTTACAATATTTTGATTTGAATGTTTTCAATTATAAGCTACACCAGACCAGATTAAAAGAAACTAGACCAAATCACATCAAACTTAAATACATTAGACTTGATCAGATCAGAATAGATAAGTAAAATATACATACACTCGACACTTATTGGACCAGATCAGATTAGTCTATCAGATCAAACTTAAACGGACCTGATCATAAAACTTTAGTCCAATTAAAAACATCATTATTGTTGTCTTGCAGTACATAAGAAAATTTCAATGACATCTTATAGGTACTGATAATAGTTATATTATTAATAACAATAGTCTTCTATAATAATATAAAATAACAAGGTGTAGCTTGCGTTTACCTCCAATAAGACATTTAACGATTTCATACTCATTAAACAATAAGAGGTACATCAATAATTAGAAATGATAATAGTAGTACTAAAAGTAATATACTATCTATTATGGAGTAATTGGAATAAATTTTCAATTCAAAATAATAATATAATAATAGTAATATATAATTGGCATGATTTCATTTAACACATATTAGAACGTTTACGATATTTTGATTGGAATGCTTTCAATTATAAGCATACACCTTTAAAAAGTCACTTTTTCTACTAATATTATGAAAATGTAATACTCCTTACATATTACTATGTAATATTGAGTGTTTGATAATGTAAAAATTTTGATTCTTAAAGCTATACTATCAATTAATGTTTTGCTTATTGGATGTTTACAAAATTTTCAGTGTTTCTCAATTACTTGAATCCTTTGTAACTAATTAATTATATTCTATAAACAAAAATAGGTAACAAATTAAAATATTTATATATCTAATGACAAGTATTTTTGTTAGTATGAAGTGATCCCAACTTTGTCGAACTTTGTGTTCTGAAAAATCCATCCCAAATTTTTAACAGATGTAAATTCGAGTTGGTCAAACTATTCGTTAGATTCCCACTGTCATCTAAACGTATTGATAGAGTATATAGACTCGGGCCCCCGGGTCTCACGACTATTGGGCTGGACAGCGGCCCACGTACACTCAGCAGATATCATTTTACATCATTATACACTGTATTTATTCATGTATATCCATTACAATAGATTAAATACCACTTATTAGTCATTTATTGGCCTGTTATTGTAACTGGGCCTTTCAGGCCCAAGCCTGGAAGCCCGGCCCACTTTTCTCCTATAAATACTCTCTATGGGAGCCATGTAAAGGGTTAGAAATTCATTTTATACATATCACTTTATCTCTCTAGATACATAATCTATCACGTATAACATGTGCATCCCGTGCAACGCACGGGTAAAGAATCTAGTAAATTAGATAAAAGACTTTAGGCTTTTTTTAGACTCTAGTTTAAGAATAAATCAGATAATACTCTTAATTATGATCCTATTTGGTGATCCATGTTTTATTCGGAGTACTTATAAAATGTACGTAATATTAGTCAACTTTTTCACCAATGACATAATTTTTTATTTTAAGCGATAAATTATATAAGAATCAAAATAAGTAAGATTAAAGTTACTTTTCGTATAACATTTTCTTATTTTATTAATAAAATTATATTTTAAATATATTTTTTATAATCGTGTCATTTTGTAATAGAAATCCTTGATTGAGACGGATGTAGTATATCTTTTTAAATGAAATCATAATAGAGTAGATTAGATCGACATAATATTAATAAGGTAATCCTAATACTTGAAAAAACCGGTATTTCCAAATAAGAGTTCGTGCCAATAAGAAAAGAATGTACGACGTTTTCATTTGTTGGAAACACACTCATTTAATTTGGAAACTAAAAAATCCTATCTTGGCGGCCACGCACATTTAGGGATGTCGGCGTCACCGCGTGTATAAAACTGCCTTCTACTCTAGACTTGTAGGTCATCGCTGGTTCTGTTTTTTTCTGGTACAAACTTATCCTCGTTTTTTCCCGAACAATTGAGATTCACTCCGAAATCTCAATTTACAAATCTGAACTCCCCTGAATTAGTAATCGTATACCGTCAAAATAATAGACGGAGTATATATTAAATATTCATAATCCCATGATGATTTATTCGTGTATGATTGAAGGGGGTTATACAATGGATGGAATTTGTGGCGTGAAACGGACGCGAGAGAATCTTGATCTTTCTTCCTCTGAGCCGAAGACCCACAAGTTGCAAAAGGTTTATGCTTTGCGCGATTTTCCGGAAAATCCCGGTCTTCTTGTCAAAGAAGATGAGTTCAGTGACTCTGAACAATATTCTGATGGTCATGAACATTCTGCTGCAGAAGAAGGACTCTGGGGGGGAAACTGTGATGATGCTAGTTCTAGAGTTCCAGAGGGATCATATGATAATCATGAAAAAGAAGGACTTTGGGATGAATTTCATGATGATGATGATGACTGTTTTATTGCTCAAGTGGGATCTAATGATAATCATTATGAATATTCTCATGTAAAAGAAAACGGATCATGGGTTGAATGTGATGATGATGTTGACTGTTCTATTGCTAAAGTGGGATCATATGAATATTCTGCCTTAATAGAAAAAGGACTTTGGGAAAAGTGTGATGATGATGATGATGATGAACTATATTGTATTGGACAAGAAGAAGAGGTTGGAGAAGATATTGAGGCGCTGCTGTGTAAATCTATTAATAATGGAAGGGTACGGGCAAGGCGTGATTATCCAAAGGGCGTTTTTCCTGCAAATCCATGTCTTGTCAAAGAAGAAGAGGAGCTCAGGGACTTTGAACAATATTCAGATGGTCATGAAGATTTTGCTGTAGGACTTTGGGAAGAGTCTGATGATGATGAACAATATTGTACTGGACAAGAAGAAGAAGAAGAACTTGGAGAAGATTTGGAGGATTCGATTTGTTCATCTTTCAATAATGGAAAGGCCCGGGCAAGGCGCGATTATCCAAAGGGCGTTTTTCCTCAAAATCCCGGTGGTCTTGTCAAAGAAGATGACTTTAGTGACTCTGAACCATATTCTGATGTCAGTTCTAGAGCTCCAGAGAGATCTTATGATAATCATGAAAAAGGACATTGGGATGATTTTGATGATGATGACGACTGTTTTATTGCTGAAGTGGGATCATATGATAATCAGTATGAATATTTTCCTGTAATAGAAAGAGGATCTTGGCATGAACTGGATGATGATGATGGTGAGTGTTCTATTGCTAAAGAGGGAGCTTATGAATATTCTGCCTTAAGAGAAAAAGGACTATGGGAAGAGTGTGATGATGATGATGAACTATACTGTACTGGACAAGAAGAAGAAGTTGAAGAAGATTTGGACGCGCCAATTTGTTCATCTTTTAATAATGGAAGGGCACGGGCAAGGCGCGATTATCCAACGGGCGTTTTTCCTGAAAATCCCGGTCTTGACAAAGAAGATGAGTTCAGAGACTCTGAACAATATTGTGATGGTCATGAAGATTCTGCTCTAGGACTTACGGAAGAGTCTGATGATGATGAACCATATTGTAATGGACAAGAAGAAGAGGAAGTTGGAGAAGATTTGGAGGCGCCAATTTGTTCATCATTTAATAATGGAAAGGTACTGGCAAGGCGAGATTATCCAAAGGGCGTTTCCCCCAGCAATTATAATGTAGCGAAGGAGCCAAAGCCAAAGCATTATTTGGGGGAACAGATTAGTTAATACACTATTATATGGCGTGTTCTTGAGCAGCAGAAGAACTGAAGAGAAGCATTTATGCACACAACCAGACAACAATCATTTAAATATTTGGTGTTTAAACAATGCGAAGTATACAGTTTGATTTGGCCGGTTTATTCTTAATAGCAATTACATTCATGATTCTTTCTAGGCTGACCACTTGATTTTGGTCTTGTACTGAGAAATTGAAAGTTTATAAACAATGGTATATATAGATTCATAATTTTTACCCTTCCATTAAAGATATAAATTCCCGGGCTCCAATTTTTCTCAAAGGACCAGCCCATCTGGGATCAAAACCGGCACTGAACAGGACCCTATAGTTGCATATTATTTCAGAGCATTCAATGAGTTAATTTTACATATACGCAGTATAATTTTTTCAAGTGCTAAATATTTCTAGCATCAGTGTATAATGTATAATTAAGTAATTAAACGATTATTAATCCACGTTTATGTATGTTTGTATCTGAGACGCACATACTTGTGGGGTATGTGAGCAGGTAAAAGCAAATTGTTAATTGCAAATCAAGACCATACACTAACCTAACTACTCGGTATCTTTTACTCCCTTATTAATTCAGTCATAATTCTTGTACACATTCTTTCGTACACACCTCAGAGGCTCAGAGTGTGCAAAAAAGTCTGTACAAACAATTTTTTGTTATTGGTTAATCATCTTTAACTTTTTTAAATTGATGATGATAAACTTTAACACTGACACTTTGAAAATAATATTTAAATATTTTACAAATTATTAATATGTTTATAATGTTTATAGACCTTTCATCACCCACACAAAAAATATTTACACAAAAAAAAAATATTTACACAAAAATAAACATGAAAAATTATAAGTATATAACTGCAACTTAAAATTCAAACATCAAGTATTATTTTTAACTATAAAATAGATATTGATTGGGCTAGTTGCTAAAAATTAAAAACTTAAATTTAAACATCGAACCATGAATATATATATATATATATATATATATATATATATATATATATATATATATATATATAATGGTAAATTAGTAAATGTAATTATACACGTGTAAATAAACAAATAAATTAGTGTGTATGTGTATATATATATACCAAATGTAACGGGCTGGGCTAGGGCCGGAGGGGTAAATGTATATGCCCAAGCCCTCCCATTTATGTGAGCAAGTTGGGCAGCCCAGCCCTTTTGTGCAGATTTAAGTTCATTCTCATATGGGCTTCAATTAACCCCGTATAAATATAAAAAAAATCAATCTACATACTAATACTGAAATCAATTGAATACTCATCAGATAATTTAATAAAAATTCTAAAAATCACTTGATACTTGATTTAAAGCAACAAACTCATTACTCAATCAATTTGAGTAAGCAAGAGTAAAAGGACCAACAAGAACTTTATTTTACTTATTAGTATTAATATACTCCCTCCGTCCCCAAAAGAAGTTCCTTTTCGGTTTACGATGTTTGACTGACTATAAAGAAACTCAATCCCTGTTCACACCTGGATTATTTTTAGTAAATAAAATTTACATATTCAGAAACTACATTAAAACCGCTACAAAGCCTGATCAAGAAAATTTAATTTTGATAAAAATTTGATATATAAAGTAAATGATTAAGAGTGACTCAAGTTGACCAATGAATAGTGACTGGGAACTTCTTTCGGACGGAGGGAGTATTATTAGTAATGTAATACTACTGTTTTTTTTTAATTTGGGGCCCCAATTTGGGAGGTAGTGTTTTGTAAAACATGTTAGACGTGCTAATAATCGGCTCTGCAACTTCACTCATTTTCTTTCTGTCTTTTCCGGGTTCCTGACAATAAGTACGGAGTTTATGTGAAGGGAAAATAACAAGGGAACAAGTGGCCGCCCGCACACATGAGACTCCAATTGCATTCAGTTTGCCCTTTGGGCAAATATTTCCTAACATTTCAGCTTTCACGCTCATTGGCGAATTCCCAGATACAATAATGTTACATGATCTTTCTAAACCTAGCTTCATGCCTTCACAGTTCATATATAACCGCCACCTCCCTACGGAAACTTCATTTATGCAAATTGTGAACTTTGCCTTTGTTTATTATTTTCCTAAGTGCTGCTTTGGCTTCTTCTAGCGTTTCAACCATATGCCCTTCTTCAAACGACATCCTCTGAATGTTGAACTGCAGTGAAGTTGGAGGGTGAAATCAATACAAACAAGCAGAGGAAACACATTGTATTTGCATCCCATGTTTTACAACAAAATTTAACTTTGCATCCCATGCTATAGTTTCTTTTTAAGGGTGGGGTGCAAAGTCAAAATTAAGGCAAACCATGGGGAGAAAAGACAAATATTAAGGCAAACCATGTGGTGCAATGAGGTGCATGTGAACAGAAAATAAAAATGGGACGTGAAGTCAAATAATGGATTAAAAATGAGATAAGATGCAAAGACCATTTTTGTGTGAAGTACCTGTGCGCCTTGCCGGACACGAATATCAGTGCCCTTACTGTCTATCGATATCAGAGCAACATCATCCACCTCCGTTTCACGTGACAGAAGATCCTTTAGGGGTTTTGAGAAGAGGACATTCAGTTCCTGCAACACATAACACCCTTACATTTAAAGTTAAAAAGTTTGTTTTGTGATGTGCCAATTGACTGACTTACTAAGCAAATTGTGTTTCGACCCCAATAACAAAACTACGTGAACGTTTCTGAAGCAATGACAAGTTGCTTAAGTTATTCCATGAAGTAGAGTTATACTCCGTATTTAAAAAAATGAAATAAAAAATTATTGCAGACTCAATTTGCATATACCGACTGAATTTTGAATCCTAATACTACAGAGAGACTTGGTAAATTGTTCACCGTGAATTGTGAAATGCAGTTTTCTCATACCACAATCTCCCTACCTTCAAGTTATGTTCACCCCCATTAACAGCAATTTTGTCTGGCTTAAGGTTTTCATATTCCTTGACATCAACCCAAGCAACTGTTCCAAACCCTCCAATGAAGTATATGTCACTGTAATGGAGTTATACACAAAACTCATTTATTAGATACAATAATGATTTCCCAAGGGCATTTCCAGTTTTCTAGTGTCAAGCATACATATTAAAATGTGCGGAGAAGGTCATGCAATAACAGTAATATAGAGTTAAAGAGAAGTGGAGTTTATAACATATGAGCAACTTATGCTGATGTAGATTGCAAATACAAGAAATGTTTAACACCTTAACTCTTTCTGTTTTGTGCAAGTGTGAGAAAATAATCTCAAAGGAAAATGGAAAGAACCTGATATTTTGCATCCTGAAGTAATAAAAGTTTCCCCACTGTTGTGAAGGACCTTGCTGATGCTTTGCTATGTACTGTTTATGAGCCCACCCCTAGAAACAGAGTAACGGTAGAGTTATATGGTTTTATATGTGCGCGTGTGTGAATTCGAAGATACTGTAGCCATAACAGGTACACATATACAATCAGACATGTAACTACCTGTTGATCTTCTGTGAGAGGATACACATCACCAAGTATTGTTACCCTTGCATTTGACAAACCACTCCATCCGGGAATCTAGAAATATAAATGATGAGTAACTCGACAATATTAGAAATCTAGAATATGCAGCTAAAGAGCAATTGATGATCAGCCAGCTTTTTCATCAACACTTGCTTATTTTACTGTGATGGCAGAATCAGCTTGTAATAAAATGAAGAAGTGCATAAGTTCCTTTTTTGGTTGAAATGGCCTAGATGAATGAAAATGGCACATGAACCCCTCTTATGTAGTTATTACTACGTATTTTCTTTAATTATTTATATGTAATTAAATTTTCCATCATTTGCAATGGAGCTAAAGATTCATTATTTTTTGGCTTGAGAATATGATGGAATAAAGCAAAATGGCTCACCAAACTGTATGCTCTTCTTTGTTATGAAGCAGCAGTCAGTCCATGCAATTTTGGACGCGATTTTCATTATGGGTCATCCGGAAACAGTCTCTCTGAGTCTCTGTGCTTTAGTACAGAGGTAAGACTGCGTACATCCGGCCCCCCTTACCCCACCATAGGTGGGAGCCTTTGTGGCACTGGGGTAAATGATGATTGATTGATTGATTTATATGTAATTAAAAAATATTTTAGATCATTAAGTAGATTAATCCATTTCAGCCACAACTTCAGCAGGTTCAGGCACACATCATGCCTTTCCAAATTGTCTCTAACTTCCAAGTGTTTGTATAACGAATAACGAACCGCTAACCTGCACAACCATCGAGCATCTTGGATCAGCTAACAAATTCCTAGTGTGAATAGCTAATGGCGAAAATGAAAATAATGGATCTGCATATGGAAAACAGATCTAAGAGTCAAAGAGCCAGATCAAAGCACTGCAGTAAATTGTAATGGAGCTAATGCAGCTACATGTCTACTCTTCCCCTGTAGATTCTCCAACTAAAATGATTTAATGCAGGGCTAAGTTGGATGAACAAAGCCATATTTGGAGTATTGGCTGTCTTTTACAGTGCCATAACAACTTACGCCCCATGCCATCTGGTGCAAAATCTACAAGTGAACCAAATGGATAACCCTCTCGCCTATGATGCATCTGGGACATGACTGTGCACAAATGAGCAAACCTAGCCTATAAACATTGCAGCAGAGAAAATGATAGTATGTCAAAGAGCTTTAACTCCTAACATAAAAGATTGTCAGATCAAATCTCCTAGAATTTATTTATTTACCTGTTCCAGTAAATTCCGAACAGCTAATGCGGGTTTCGGTAAATCATGAGCAGAGGTTGCGCTTTGCACTCCTCCTGATATGGGTGTTCTAAACAGCCCGGCTCTTGTGCCGCCCCCTGCGTGCGTCACCACTTCTGCTATCCTCTCTTCTTTAATTTCGTTTGGCTGTTCCCCGTCGAATTTACCCTTCGGAGTTCGGAGTATGAGAGATCCGTCAACACAATAATAGCCGTTTAGCATACTAGCAGAGATAATACAGATGATTGCAGTAAACTGTAAAAAACGGATGCATATCATCAGTACCCGAGACAAATGAACAGCTCCTTCAGGAGCTAATCCAAATCCAATTTCGCTTTTCAGACGAAGAATTTGCTCTTCAGTGTTTCCGTCTCCACCACTAAGTTCTTCAGAAGGAAGTGCCGCAATTCGAGAGAGGCGGAGTGTAGGCGAGATGCTGCGTGCTAGAGTTAAACTGGATTTCAGAATCTTACTGCCAAGCCAGTTAGTAGGAGTTTTGATATACTGAAAAGTACAAGGCCTTTCTGTGAATCTTGGAAAGAAACTGGCGCTAGAAACAGCTTCCATAGATGAAGAAAGAGGCTGTGAGATTGCCATGGGGATAAAATCCACTTTCTCTTACAGCTCGACGTATGTCTGTTAGCAAAATTTCTGCACTCTTCGGGTCGGTCTGCTATACCAAATTGGGCAAGACCCGGCTTCGGATGCAAATTATACGGAGTATGACACTATGACCTATGTATTCTAGGGTACTTATTAGGATGTGTTTACATAGACTATAATTTGCTGGTCTGATCTGGTTCGGTCTGATTTGATTCGATTTGGTTGCTTTGTGTTTTTATAACTATCCAAGTCTGGTCTGATCTGATCTGCTCTGGTCTGGGACGAATTTCAGTCCTTAGTAGGGGTGACATACCGGTTTGGTTTAATCGATCGGAATCGTAACAAACTTATCTAAACCGAACTGAAACCAGACTATATGTAATTTGATTTGAGCTTGATAATATTCTTCCAAATTGTATGATGGATAATATAGTAATCAAACTATATAATTTAGAAGAGATTAAGCCAAAAGAGGGAAGATGAATGCGTAGTGTGAATGTAATATTAATGAATTGATTAGGTCTTAGGGTTTATAAGGGAGTATATACAGGAAAATTTGAGTATCTAATATGGGTCTGACAGACTCGATTACATAAAAAGACTTATAATAATATAAAAAAGCTAATTTAGAATATCTGAATAATAATACCCCTGTCCCATAATGGATGTCTTCTTTTAGTTTAGTATGGTTATTAATAAAGTGATTGAAAAGTAAAAGTTGTGGTTGACATTTCAGTACAGTAAAGTGAAATGATATGAACATATGTTTCTCGCCAAAAGAGGAAACATGACATTCATTTTGGGACAACCCAAAAAGGAAAGTAAGACAACCAAAATGGGATGAAGGGAGTAATAATAATAATCTATCTATAAATAATACATTTCAATTCTAAGCAAACATTCAGAGAAGCAATATAGCTCGTTGATCCTATAATGGGCTTACATGAGCCAAAGACGTTTAAAGCACACTTCCTATCAACCAATCCTAATGCAAAAGTCTTACAATATTAAAAGTAACCAACAGAAAAATAAACAGTCTGATCTTGAAAAATAAATCGCAAGCATAATGTAAAATTAAAAAGATGCTTCCAAACCCTCGACTCTTCTGCACTCCATAGCAGCGGATCAAGAGGGGGACGATCCAGCAGTACTGTAGCTTCTTCCTCACCTTGCCTCTTATTTATCATGTTCTCTATCAAGCTTCCTATGTCGCCACCTAATACAGATGACCTCGAATCCAGATCTGTTCCAGCCTCTAGCCCCACACTTCATCCATGACCTTTGCCCATTGGAGACCAAGCATCCATCTTCTGTCCCTGCAAAACCTTCGACCGCAAGAGACCAAACATCATCTTCCCTCCGCTTAATCTCGCCAAGCAAAAGAAGGAAAAAAGTCGCACAATTGATGGCGAAAGAAGAAACCCTGTATGTCTAAGCTCGCCTACGACGGCCGCTCCTCGTTACAAACGATAACGGAGAAAAAACCCCAGCGGTGGAAAGCCACCCTAGAGAGAGAAAGATCCGATCGAGAATCTTCAATTCTAAGCAAACACTCATTAGAACTCATTATAATATTATAGATTTTCTTTTCAATTTAGTATATTAATTATTTATACTTCCGTTACAGTAGTATTTAACTTAGATTAGAACTCGATATAAAACTAAGCAATATGTTTGAAACTTGGAATCCTACGTAAATACCAATTTTTAAAATTTATGAATTTGATATTTTTGTGATAGTCGGAGTACAAATAAAATGTTACAACACTTCAAATATATATATTTTGAAATGTTAATTTATGTTTTATTTTTATATATACTCAATATTGGTGTCATGAAAGATAATAAAAAGTTATGAATTTTGATATATTTTTTGTAACAATTGGAGTACAAATAGAAAAGTTACAACACATTAAAATAAACATGAGATTGTATTTTGGTGGGGACATGATGAATTCTACAAGTACCCTTTATATATTATTTAATTCAATAAAATAACTACAAGCACCAAACTGAAATGAAAGGGGAATACAAGAGAATAAAAATATTTTAAGCCCCACAAATAATTTCCATAAATTAAAATTGTTTAAAAAAGTTCTAATAACTTCCAAATCATTCATAAAATGGCAAGAAGAGAGAAACATTATAAAATGAAAATGGGAAAAATTAAAATAGCAAGACTGCATGTGTTAAAATTTGCTAAATATACATTTTTAACTTAATGCTATCTCAAATTTATGTTCACCTTTCTAATTAATGATATTTTTTATTGGAATCAATTTTTCGATCTCATATATGAAAGTAAAAGTTATTTTTACTTTACTGTAAAGATGGAAAAAATATTTTAAATACCCCAAACTTTTTAGAGGTGTGAGATTAATACCCAAATTTGCACATGTAATAAAAATACCCCAAAATTTATATAATTTATCTTAGCAGCATAATAATATGTTTTTTGTTTCACAAAATTAAATTTACAGTGTTAAAATATAAAATTTAAAATACTTTAGGCATTTATTTGGATGAAATTATTATCCAAGCTTCAATATTTTAAATAAAAAACATTAACAAATATGTTTATAATGTTAATTGCACACTCAAAAATTATTACTACATTCATCCTACTAACATTGGGACATGAGGGGATGCCACGATTATTAAGAAAAATGAGTTTATGTGGTTGATAATGAATTGATAAAGTAAGAATAAAATAAAATGATTTAGAGCCACACAAACTTTACGAAATTTGGTATGAACAAACTTAGTGGATTTTCCAAAAAGAACAAATGTGACAATCTTAACGTGACGGAGGGAGTAAAATATTTATATAATTTACTTAACACTATAAAATTACATTTGTGAAAGAAAAAACATATGATTTCATTCAAAACAAGAAAAAGAAAAACCATATGATTATGATGCTAAAATAACTTTTACATATAGTTTGGGGTTCTTATGCTACATACCTCACACCCCTAAAAAGTTCGTGGTATTTAAACTATATCCTCCCCATATATATTAATATAATCTTAATATATTTTGGTCGAGAGTTTCAGCTCCCGAAAAGTTTTATTAATTACATATGATATCGTGACACTAAAAGTGGTGTTTAAGAGTTAGATAAACAAACTAGACTGTATATAAAAGGTACACACTAATTCTTTTGCTCATGCACTTAACTTTAATATAATAATATTTGGTCGTGAAAATTGAGATCATTTTTCGTTTATGAATACATGGCGTTTGTCTTTTTATTTTTCATTGTGTAATTAATTTGACATGTTTCTGTTTTGATTATAGCTACCTTTTGATGTGATGAGAATCTTTTTATAGGTATTAATCACCACACCATCTAGATAAAAATTGTCTATTAAAAATCTAAATCATACAACTTTTTTTCGTCCAATAATATTTATTTTACTTTATAAGATCATATATATCTTCAATAAATCAATCTAATGAAAAATAAATTGATCGCTATCAATGAGAATATGCAGCCTATTTTCATCGTTATCACCTTCATTAAAATCGGAATGTCACAAAATTATATATTCTGAACTATTTTTTTAAAGAAAGATATCAAAAGACTAATTTGACAATTTCTAAAACCTAGAAGGGTCATATCTAAAAAAAGTGACTACATCCATTTTTAGCAAATAAATTAACAAAATGTGTAGTTAGTTTTGAAAAAAAAACAGTAAGCCACAAATGAAATTTAATGGATAAAAATAGGCATTGAGCATTTTCTTTTTGTTTAGGTAAAAATAGATTGATTTCAATTGGATGCAAGTGAGAGTTATAAAAATATGTTGTTTTCATTGGAAAATATATACTGGAAACATGTTTAGGATTAGTTCAAAAATAAGGCATACTTAATAAATTAGAATATGCATTTTAAACAAATGTTATAATCGACTAGATAAGTGATTTTCCGTTACTAAAACCAAACAACGAAATCATTTTATCCCATGGATGGCACATGTAAAGATACTAGTAATATAATAATAATAATAATAATAATAATAATAATAATAATAATAATAATAATAATAATAATAATAATAATAATAATAATAATAATAATAATAATAATAATAATAATAATAATAATAATAATAATAATAATAATAATAATGTCATTATTATCCAACGGTGTATCCGGACCGTTGTTCAACCCCAATAATCGGCAGACTAGGAGTCCTATATAATATACTCTATCACTATATCAAAGTATCAAACTAAATCGAACCAAAACCGAAAAAATCGAATAAAATTGATCCGAACTAAAGAAATTCAAAAAAACTTTCATATGTTATTAAAAAATAAAAAATTCAAACCATGCCAAACCGAACTAAATTGAATCGAACCAAACCGAAAATATAGTATTGTTTTTGTTTGATAATAACTCTTCCAATCCGTTTCGAACTGAACCAGGTAAAAATCGAACCGAAAACCGATATGCCCGACCATAGTAATTAGCATCCATGTTATGTAAACACCGAATAGTAAGTATTGATATATTTTTCGTAATCGTAATCTTAAATATGATTAATAAATACCTCAAGACTGAAGCACATTGAAAAAATATTCCTTCCTTCCTAAAATAAGATAAATACATACCTTAAGTAGTTAAGTTGCGTCTTATTTTCCTTTTTAGAGCCCGTTTGGTAGCACCAAAATCGGGTGTTTTGGCTGATTCTGCTGAAATTTATGATATTCTGGCTGGAGTGGCTGTTTTGGCTGATTCTGCTGATTTAAGAAAAAAATATTTTAAAAATATATTTTATTAATAAATTAAAGAAAAAATTATATGTAAAAATAGCTAAAATGGTCCTCTACAGTAACTTCAGCCAATACAGCCAGAAAAGTAACTCCAACCTTACTTTTTCGGCTTATTACACAATTCAGCGCGCGAAAGTAAAAGTTACGTGTTTGGTGAAAAAGCTGGCTGATAAGCCTGATAAGCCGAAAACAGAGTTCTCCAAACGGGCTCTTAGAGTATCCCCAAATAAGTGTGTAATTTTTTTTTGAAAAAAATACGTGGTTTACAACTTTTTCATTTTATTATATTCAAATCTCAACC